AAAAGAATGGATTTTGATTGCAGATGGGCAAGGAGTGTGTGGAGTTCTAGAGGTATAAAGTGGGTGGCTGCTCTTTCGTGGGGTTCCTCGGGAGGGATTGTGACCCTGTGGAAAGAAGATATACTCTTAGGTGTGGAGGAGCTAATTGGAGATCATTCTGTCTCCCTAAAGTTCAGACAGGTGGACGATGGATAGGTTCTAACAAATGTGTATGGCCCCAATGACTATAGGCAGAGGGATAAATTATGGGAAGAATTGAGTGACATTAGAGGCCTCTGGGATGGACCTTGGTGTGTGGGAGGGGATTTTAATGTAATGGGATTTATGGAGGAAATCAACAACCCCAGACAGAGAGTGACAACAAGTATGAGGAAGTTCAACCAATTTGTGGACTCTTTTAATCTCAAAGAACTTCATTTCCTAAATAATAACTTCACTTGGTCCAACCTTCAATCACGACCAATTTGCTCTAAGTTGGACAGATTTTTGTTCTCAACAGATAGGAGGAACATTGTGGCAATATTAGTTCTAGGGCTCTCCCTAGACTTACTTCAAACCACTGGCCTATAGTGTTAGTCAAGGAGGAAATAAGAGGAGTAGGGCCTACCCCTTTTAAGTTTGAAAATATGTGGTTGACTCGTTCGGGTTTCACTGAGAAAATCAGAGAGTGGTGGGAGCAAACTAATCCGGTAGTTGATTGGGAGGGAATGAGGTTCCACAAGAAACTCCAATACTTAAAATCACAATTAAAGGAGTAGAATAGGCTGGAGTTTGGAAGATTAGAAGAGAGAAAGCAAGTTCTGGTGGGGCAAATCGAGGATTTGGACCTGAAGGAAGAGAGAGGCCCCTTTGGAGAGGAAGAAAGGAAGTTGAGATGGGTTTTGATGAGGTAGATGGAGGACATCCTGATTAAGGAGGAAATCAGTTGGAGGCAAAAATCTAGGTGTAAGTGGCTAAAGGAGGGAGACARAAAYACAAKGTTTTTCCATTCAGTGGCAAATGGAAGGAGAAAGAAGAATTACATATCTAATTTGGAAGTTGATGGAGCAGTTTTGTCTCACTCGGCTGAAATTGCAGAGGCTCTAGTAAACCACTTCAAATCTATTTTTAGAAGGCCTATAAATGAGAGAGTGTGGTTGGAGGGTTTGGATAGGCCGACTCTAAGTGCAGAGAAGAGAGAGTGGTTAGAAAAAATGTTCAATATGGAGGAGGTAAAGGAAACAGTATTCTCTATGGATAGGACAAAAGCTCTAGGTCCAGATGAGTTCACAATGGCCTTTTACCAGGATTGTTAGGATATTTTGGAGAATGATCTTACATCGGTTTTTGAGGAGTTCCACAGGAGGGGTGTAATAAACCCGGGCTTGAACTCAACTTTCATTGCCCTAGTCCCAAAGAAGAAAGATGCTTCTCAATCAAAAGATTTTAGACCTATTAGTCTGGTGACTAGCCTGTACAAAATCATTGCAAATGTGTTGTCTCTCAGAATAAAGAAGGTGCTCCCCTCTATTATTGCACCCAACCAAAGTGCTTTTGTAGAGGGAAGACAAATCACCGATCAAATTCTCATTGCAAATGAGAGCTTGGAGAGCTTTAGGAAGTCAAAGAAGAAGGGAGTGGTTTGCAAATTGGATTTGGAGAAGGCTTTTGACTTGGTTGATTGGTCTTTCTTGATGGAGGTGTTGAGGAGTTTTGGTTTTGGTGACAAGTGGTGTAAGTAGATCTGGGGCTGTGTTAGGACTTGCCATTATTCTATCCTGGTGAACGGGACTGTGGTTGACTTCTTTCCRGCGTTGAGAGGTCTAAGACAAGGAAATCCTCTTTCCCCTTTTCTTTTCACCCTGATTGTTGATGTGCTTGGGCGGTTGATCCATAGAGCAGACTCGAGGAATCTGATAAGAGGGTGGAGAGTAGGAAGGGAGGATGTTCCATTAACTCTTCTATAGTTTGCAGATGATACTATCATTTTCTATGAAGGAGGGAACCTCAATTGGATCCGGAATCTAAAGATGACAATACAACTTTTTGAGCAGATATCTAACCTCAAGGTAAACTTTGATAAGAGCTGTGTGGCGGGAGTGAATGTGAACGAAAGAGACCTAAGGGAATTTGCAGGTGAGCTAGGTTGTGCAATTACGGATTGGCCCCTGACTTATTTGGGCATCCCTTTAGGAGATAATCCTAAGAGTGTTAGCTTTTGGGCTTCGGTAGTAGAGAGGTTTGAGAAGAGGCTAGCGGCCTGGAAGATGAATTATCTTTCTTTAGGTGGAAGAGTCTCTCTCATTAGGTCTACCCTAGCTAACCTTCCTGTTTACTTTCTGTCAGTGCTTAAGATCCCCTCAAATGTTTCAAATCTTTTGGAAAAATTAATAAGGAACTTTCTCTGGGAGCCTGGAGAGGAGAAGAGAGATCATAGGGTGAGTTGGGAGGTGGTCTCTAGGTGTAAAAAACTAGGTCTTGGGATTGGTAATTTCAAGAAAAGGAACATGGCTCTACTAGGGAAGTGGTTGTGGAGGTTCTCTTTGGAAATGGATAAATTGTGGACTAAGATTGTGGCTAGCATTCATGGGCTGGAAGACAATGGCTGGGATCCTGGAATCATGGCAAGGGCTTCAGCTGCTTCTCCTTGGAAATCCATCCACAATCTGCTTCCAGTTTTCTCCCCTTGGATCATGTATGGTCTAAACTCTGGTAACCGAATAAATTTCTAGGAACAACTTTGGGTCGGGGATTCTCCTTTGAAAGACCAGTTTCCCTCCTTGTATGCTCTTTCAGATTTGAAAAATGAACCCATTTTTTCTTTCTTGGTCCCTTCAGCCTCCACTTCGGGCATTGGTTGGAACCTTGGCCCGCGTAGGGCAATTAGGGATACAGACTTGGATAGCTTGGTAGCTCTGCTAGCCTCCCTTGAGGGTGTCTTCCTAAACCCTGCTAAAGAAGACACCAGATTTTGGACCCTTTCTAGCTCTGGTACCTTTTCTTGTGCTTCTTTCTTTGAAACCTTAACTCAGCCTCCTACCGCCCTGGGGTTGTCCTTTCCAGTTAAGGAAATTTGGAGCAAACCTATTCCTCCTAGGGTGGGTTTTTTTTGTTGGAAAAATTTCCTGGAAAGAATCAACACTTTAGACATACTTCAAAGAAAGAGACTCAACTATTGTCTACTTCCTAATAGATGTGCTTTTTGTAAAGCTGATGGAGAATCTGGCTACCACCTTATGGTCTCTTGTAAGGTTGCTAAAACTGTTTGGGAGTAGGTTTTCTCCCGTTTTGGGTATTCTTGGTATCCTCCGGAGACTGTCCAAGGTTTGTTTTCTCTTTTTTTTTTTTCAGTTGGCCTAAGAAGCGAGGGAAGACTATGTAGAGGTGTATTAGGGCAGCAGTATGCTAGTCTTTGTGGGAAGAAAGAAACTCACACATTTTTTCTGACAAGGAAAAAACATTGGAAGATTTGTTAGATCGAATCCTTTTAAGAGTTGTCTACTGGCTAAAATCTTTGGAGTTGTTTTCAGATTGTCCTATGGATGACTTGCTAAGAAACTAGAAAGAGATTGCTTCCAGTGCTAGATGCAAGAGGACTCTTTGTCCGTTTTGGTTCCTTCCCCCCTTGGGCTTTATAAAGCTGAATTTTGATGGCAGTAGTGTAAGGAATCCAGGGCCCTCTGGGATTGGAGGAGTCTTCAGGAATGAGGAAGGGATTGTTACTGCTTTATTCTCTGGCTCTATTGGAGAAGGTGACTCTCTTAGGGCTGAGATCCTTGCAGCGCTTGAAGGAATTCGAAGAGCAAAAGAATTAAATATTAGCCGCTTGATTCTGGAAGGTGATTCGAAGGTGGTGGTTAATTGGTTGAAGACAGAGGACGGTGGTTTGTGGAACTTTAACAATGAGAAAAAATAGTTCTTATGGCTGGGTAGGGACATTGAGATTCAATACAGCTGGGTGAAGAGGAGTGCCAACTCATTTGCGGATGGGTTGGCCAAGCAAGGAGTGAATAGGGAGGCTGTTTTTTGGGCTAGTTTTTAATTTTTCTTTGCATTCCCTGTGTTTTCCGTTTTTGAGGAGCTAAGTTATTTTATCTCCCTTTGTATTATTTTCCCTCTCTTCTTTTAATTTAATGAAGATGCTGTTATTGATAAAAAAAAAGTGTTTTTATAAGAGTGCTTTCATAAAAATGTTTTTTATAAAAGTAATTTAGTAAAAGTGCTTTCAAAGGGTATCTTTTGAAAATTTGAAAGAAAATGAATGACAAAATAGTCACAAATGCTTATTAGTGTTTATTAGAGAAAAAGACTACCAAACACCCAATATAAATAAGATCTTATTTTAAAAAATAAACACTTGAAAAAGGTGGGTGCCAAATGCAAATAAGTGCTTATTCGAATAAGCACTTATTTTTAACTTAAGCACTCCCAAACATGGCCTAAATAAGGGATTGGTTTAGCCTCCCACATAGGTGCAAAACTCTTTAGTGGGGGAGAGAGAGTGTTCCAAAGCACTTTTTTGTACTGGACATTTTGCAGATGGCAAAGAATCTGAAGTACTCCTTTTTAAGTTTGCTAAGCGATCTGAAATTCCTGAAGCTCATTTGGCTGCCAGTATTGATTTCAACATAGGTGGAATTCGGATGGTTCTCCCCCGGGGTGGCTAAAAGAGTTCAATCTTGGTTCTGAATCAGAGAAGAGGAATCTAGTAATTAATGCTGGATTTTCTATTCCCTGATTTCAGTAGTGCTCTTTATGTGGTTTGGTGTAGGTTTGTTTCTTTAGGTGGATTGACTGGATTCAATATCGGTCTTGTTCTGTGTCTGTTTCTGTGGTGTCTGTTATGATCTTTTCTATAAAAATAGTACTTAATCCAAACCGCCAATGTCTCTAACATATCCTCCAAATACTTCCAAAACTAAATTGTACAGTGACTTTGAGTATCACTTCCGATTATAAATAACAGGAAATAATCAATGCTAGACAAGAAATACAATTACAAGAAAAGGCTCGAAAAAATATGAAGGTAAGAGATCGAAGGAAAAATTTTCATTAATAAACTGATCCAAACTTGGAAATCTGAAATAACTGTCCAATTTGCATCCCAAAATCAAATTGCCAAATGCAATCTGTTTGTCAATTCATATTTAGACATAAGATAGGCAATGCCAATAAAATTTTCATATCTGATTGTGCTGCATAGAATTTACTCTTCAGACAAGGAATTTTGACTTTAGGTCTGAATCTGGATTTATATCAAGCTGATGACTGATTATGTTTCTCTTTCAGTATCGTTTTTGTTCCTGAACCCATTTAATATTCTCATTGTTAAATAAAGCTAAGGAACCTTAAAATGCTGATCTCTACAAATAAAATTGAGGAATCAACGGATGCAATCTCCTACTTCATTGCTATACTCACTTGGAAGACTGTGAAGAATCAAGTTGCATTGTTACAGGCCCATCATTAATCAAATTTACCTTCAAAAGTTCATAACAATTTCAAGTCAGAATACTTCTCAATGTTGAAAGTTTCTTTCAGTTTACTGGCAGGGCAGGCTTACCTTCATCATTGCCCCAAATACACCGTCTGCAAGAAAACAGATTAGTGGGATATGGTTAGAAATAACAATTTTTAAGAACAATATAACAATTGATGGCATGGGATATACTAACATGTCCTACAACATAAACCCATTGTATAGCAGATGGAGATAATTTCAGAAAATTTGTGTGGGAAGGCTAATGGAGCAGTAGATACATAAGACACAAGCTCTATTGAAGAACATCGGATATTCAGCTACATTAAGAATAGGCAAATAATTTATCCAAGGGGCAGTGACGTATGCAGTCATATAGTGAAGCTACACATAATTCATAGATTTGTTAAATCCAGAACTGTATGAACAGAGAAAGGTTTTGTAAAACTTTTTCCATACTCCTTTTTTTTTCTTTTGTAGCTGTTTTCTTCCCTGTCCAGTTAAGGTATTAAACTCTGGATGATTTTTTTATCAGCAAATTAAACTCTAAATGGTTCAAGGATATTTAACTTCACAGAAGCTTACTGGATACTGTTTATCCAAGTTATGGAGCACTTGGGGTTTTTTGATAGATGGTCTCTAAAAAGTAATCAAGTGATCATTTGAGCTCTATTTAGTGTATATAGACTTCTGGGTCTTCAAAAAAAAAAAAGATTCTAAAAAGATGTATTTTTTATATGCATATTGTGAATGAGTACTTTTTTTTTGGAGTAAGAAAGTAGCTGGTAAACAAATGGGAAAGGGGTCGATCCAGAAATTCTGAACCTATATACCGAAGATGGTTTAGCAAGAAAACAAAAACACGCAATGCACATTTGCAAGAATCACCATTGGTATGCTTTTGGATTGTTCAGGGAATGGGTAGAAAAAGGCAAAACAAGATTAGAAGGAAGAACAAAGAATTTATCATTGGGAAAATGAATATGGGAACAACTAAGTTTCACACATTTAAAATCAGTAACTATCGTTTAGCTCTCTAGCTTAATAAAACTCTGTAGTGAAAAAAAAATGTTGCCATTCTTTACCATGAAAATAATATCAATAGACTGACCCAAGTAACCAAAGATACACAGAAGAGAACCTTGAAAGGGAAAAAAAGATGATGGTATGCCTACCCTTTACCGACTCTGGATTGTAGGCTTTTCGGAACCTTTCAACAAGAGAAGCATAGAAAGGTTTTGCTCTTTCAGGCGGCATTGCCACATGGAAATCCGGCTTATTACCCTTCAGAATTCCATACAATGTAAATTGACTCACTGAAAAACAAAAGAAACAATATTAGCAATTTACATAGTCGATACAAAAAAAAAACTAGGAAATAACAACAATAACAGCAACAACCAGCAAATAAGGAAGATTCTTTACAGAAAGATCTGGTGTTAATTTAAAGTACCCAATAGAACTCCGTAATTCCTCTGCATAACCTGTGAATTGCATGAAATTTAGAATTTTAGCTAGCTTAGGCTATTTGCTATAGGGGTTCTCAAATATAAAGGACCGACATAAACTGTAATAACTGTCCAAGATTACTTATCAATACCACCCCATAAAGCAAGCAAAGATCAAGACGGTTATAATGGCGGTTATTACCGTTATATAGGGTATTCTTAACTGAAAATTAATGGGGTTGAGAAGTGCTTACGTTCTGATCCCAAGCTTTTCCAGTCTTGTCATTTGGAAACAATCTCATGTTCAATACCTTCCGGCATCTGCAGAGTGAAGAGTCAGTTTTTCTTAATCCACTTGATTTAATTCTTTTTAGGAATAAAGCGAATAAGAATTAAAGAAAAACAGTTACATGTAATCAGCATCGGATTCAACATCGGATTCGTGAACGCCGACGAGAACGAGGAGACCTGGTCCAATCTCTGACACTGTGCGCCCTTCCACCTACAATTAGCTATCTTGCACCACTGAAGAAGGATGGACAGAGAAAAGAAAAAAAAGGGGGCTTTGTTAGAAAAGCTAACCTCGACGCTCGCAGAAGCGACTCGCTGAACTATGGTCCTCATTCTTCCTCCCTCTTTCACCCACTCCAATTTGTGTTGTGCAGGGTGCTTACTGCTGAGTGCTGACTGCGTTCTGCAGAGGAAAAGCCGGAAGGATTACGGGCTTTACGGGAGGCGCGTCGAAAAGAGACCGAACGCAACCAAAACCAAAACCGCCCCTTCCCCACACGCTCGCCCACGCACACACAAGAACCGTAATACGGTAATAGGATGCATACGGATCCGATTGGATCAAATTCACCTAGATCCATATTCGATAACATCAATAGTCGGACTTCAATCAAATCTTATCCGTCGGGTTATGGTCGGATCTGGAGCATGGCTCCGAGCGAATGGGACTGCAAATGATATCTATTTATCCAAATTCGGACTCGGTTCAGTTAGATCCGAATATAAATCCACCCCAATCTACTCAATTACAGACCCCCTAGTACTATGGGGTCTATGACAAAGACCCCCCTGTACTTTATTTTGTGACATCCCCTGTATTATGACCGTGAGACAATTACCCCCTACAATTAGTTTTCTGTTGAAATCCACGGTTATAATATTTTTGAATCTCCATACTACCCTTGTAGTAAGGACAATTGGGAGAAAAAACACTGTTCATCTTCCCCGACCTCAGGATACACGAACAGTAGTGGTGGTAATCCCTTTTACCTTAGATTCCTTCATATTTCTCTCTCTCTCTCCCAATTTCTCTTCTTCCCCTTCCCCTTTCTTCTTCTCGCTTTCCTCTCTTCCTCCCCTTTCTACATGTATCTGCATTAAACTATGTCATTTATTTCAGTGAATAAATCGCCAAAATCTATGCATAAAGGGAAAGAACACAAGGAGAGGACGAATCTTCAGGGAATCTGCTGAATCCAACGATTCTGTCCACCCCCCAATTAATACGGCATCGGCACGTCAGACTTAAAAGTGTGAAGCATAAAAAAATAGAGTAAAAATAATAAGGGATTTTTGGACTGCAATCCCCCTCAAAAATCTGAATTGCACCCCCTTCCCTCTTCTTTAGCAAAAGAAAAACTTAGAAAAATTAGGAGAGAATTCGAGTCTTGATGGCGAAGAGCTTCAGGCATCCATCTTTCCCTATTATTTTTGCTATTCGTTTGGTTGCGTTCTTGTTTTTCTATGTTTCTGCAAACATCCTTAGAAGAGCCAAATCTTGGGTTTCGACTAATCCATCTGTAAGCTCTCCCCATATTAATCTTTCTATCATTTTCTTTGTTTGGTTGCTTGGAGTGTTTACTCTCTCTTCCTCTTCTTGTCTATGTCTTCTTCATGATTCTATTGCATTAAACCATACCATGAGGGAACCATCTCTCTTGTTATGGTTCCGCATGTAGGATCTCGTCACGGTCGGTCCACGGTGAGAAAGCCCTACTTTCCCTTGCGCCTTCCCTTGCGTGTAGACCCTATCGCGGAAACTGAATGGGTGATTTGTCCAAGAGACCACCTGAACTCTCCTCACTCTTTTCTTGATTGCGAAAAACTGAATGCCTTTATTTCAATTCGTAGCTCCTTAAATAGGAGATTACAGAAGGAAATTCCTAATTAAACTCAAACTCCAACTTGAACTCAAACTCCTAATTACCTACTCCTAATGGAAACTCACTCTTACTTAAGATAAGATAAGGAAGGCTGGCGGTGAGTTCTCTTGACGTGTCCAGATAGGGTGGGCCCATCCCTATGATCTGTCGTGTGGGCCCCGCTCTGTTACTGCTGCCCGGGTGCGTGCGTGCGGTGCCGCTGCCGCGCAGTGTGTGCATGCGGCTCATGGTGCCGCTGCCATGCGGTGCTGGGCGTGTGCGCGGTGCGTGCGGTGCGCGCTGCTGCCCCTGCTGCTGCCGTGTGGTGCGGTGCGTGCTGCGCGCTGTT